GGAAAAGACCAGGGTTCCAATTCAGATACAGGCTCTCGAAGTGTTGTATGACCTGCTCCAATCCAATCCAGAATGTCGTCGGATGCGGCCGATCCTGAGTGGGGACACTATCCCTGTGATAACTCTCAAGGCTGTAATTAGAACCACGACTGGAGGTAGACGCAGGCGGATCCATGGCCGTCACAACCGAAGGGCGAGGACCGCGCCAGCCTTTGCCTTCGACCCATGGATTCTTGATAAGCAACAGACGATCATGCTCCGTCTCCCTCATGTCCAGCACGACGTAACTGTGTTGGCCCTCGAGACCAAGTTCACGCTCCTGCCTGGTCGACATCTTGCCAGTACCTGCTGTGACCAGAACATCGCCGTACAGGAAGGCGTTGTGTATGCGCTTCCATATCTGATCTGGAACCGTATCGGCCCTATAAAAGTTAGTATGGTCAGCTATGGGATTAGAGAACAAACAACTTACTCTTGCAAGAAGACCTGTTCTGGTATCCAGCCCGTCAAGGTCCAGAGATCACTGCACGAGTTGCTCCCAGGGAAATCGTAACCGCCGCGAACTTTCAGGTATGCTTTCTCAAGTAGTGCTGGCCATAAGAGGGCTGGATTACGGCGGTCGAAGACATGAAGCAGACGATGTGTCTTTGAGACTGGTAGTCGATCATCGATAACCACCTTTCTCCAACAGCCGTTGAAGTTGAGTCGTACGATGTACTTGCCATTAGATGAGGTTAACGGCTTTCCAAGGTGCTTGTCATATGGATATATCTTGTTCGTGAGCATCTGCCACATTTAGTACCGAGACTGCAGAATTTCTGGGGATGGCAAACCTGATCGTGACCGCGTTCTGAGCGAGCAATACCAGCGCATAAGCTTGTGACCACCGAGCAATCTGAAGCTGCATCCTGTACAAGATCGAGAGGCCTCGTGCTAGACATCAAGGGCCCGATACCAGCCCTACCGTTAGGGAACTGCGAGGGTGGCGGCACAGCTTCTTTGGCACGCAGCCAACCGAGAAAGAACTGCTGTTGGTATGAAGACAGACTCAGATCTCGCGTATCCCTGTCACTGTCAGTATGTCTGAACAACCCCAGTATGACCATCAGGTAACGTACGTGTAGGCTGCCTCGCCCTCGGATACGAATTCATCCGCAGATGGAGTCTTGTCCCAAGGTGGGAACTTGAAGCCATTGACTGTCGAAGCCTTCAACAAAATGATGCTTTCTTTTGTGGGTAGTTTCCTGCTCGAAATCGGCTCTCGTAGCCTGTGTATCTGAGAATGAGGTGCGGTTGAGGGCGTTAGAGCTGCTGTTTGCGACTCGGGTACTCCAGGCTGGGACTCTGCGCTAGAGGGCTGTGGCACGGCAGATGAATTCAACACGGATTCGTGTCCGTTCTTCGGATGGTTGTCACGGTCAATGTTGGCGTTTGAGCTATCTTCGTGTGACGCATCAGTGACTGCACTTGGTACATCGATTGGAAAGGCGTCATCCGAAAGATCAATAAGCGGCATTAAATCTCGGCGCGCATCTTGCTGGAAAGAAGGCACGGCTGAAGAGAGATCTGACTGATGAACGAATGCTGAGAACGAAGAAGCTGATGATTTACCTGAAGCTGCTGGACCGTCGATAGGTCCTGTAGTCGAAGAAAGAGCCCAACGGGACGTGTTTGAACGCGTGGTCGAGTCTTCAAAGGTTGTACCTGGAGTTGCAGTCCCGGCGACCTCTTTGGCCCATTGACCTACTCGCTCATCTCTGGAGCTGGAGGACTGGGGTTTGACTAGAGGTGTCCATGTTTCATCGGCCTTGATGCGATCGGCACGAGTCAACATCTCGCTGCATTGCGCCTTGAGCTCCTTCCTTTCGTCTGGGTTTGACGATAGTTGGATCGCTTCCATGAGGTTCTCGGCCACGCTAATTGCGAGACTGAATGCTTCATCCTTGGTAGCGGCTTTGTCAACCCGCGAGCGATAGTCCTGGCAGCTTGATTAGTTGGAGCTACAACGCGGGACTTGATGTTGCAGCGAGAAGTTAGTTGTCTGTATCACATACGCTTGCGGCCGCCTTGTAAGCCTCAATCTCAGTAGCCCGGTCAGCCATCGTGAATGACTTGAGACAGGACACGGTAAGAGAAATTTGACCAATACTAGCAGCGACGACGAAGCTACTTGCGTTGTGCCATAGCGATGCGACTGACTATGGGTGAGTGGAGTCAAGGCGCACTAAGAAGCTGTGATGGTGCTTTGGTGTTGTGATGTTGTGATCTGGGGCGGAGTCTCTAGCGCGACGCACGTTCCTGCCAAACGGCCGTCGCGACTGCCAGTTCCAGCAGGAACAGCCAGTTCCAGCGCATAAGTGACGAATCTAGACGTCTCCTTCCACGTGTGAGGCATATCCGGCCAGGCACGGCTTGCTCACTTTCACCGAAGTGATCGACAGCGGCTGCGGTGAAGGAAGGTCCAAGGGAGCAGGGTGTGTCGTCATCCGAACCTGAACCTCGGCCTCTAGGACCTCGGGAGAGGTCAGCCATGCATGCGACAGCGCTATCGCGTTGCGGGCACCATGAACGTCCCCTGCCCGCTTTTTCTAACTTCCGATGCTGCTATCTCCAGTCTTCAGATTATTACTGTCATGATGAGATAGTCCGAATTAGTCGCTGATTCCACACCATATCCTCCGCCCGTCACACACTCCGCAGTCGCAACACTTCGCCAAGCCTTAGCAACTGTGCTCGACTACCACTATGGCCGGCCAGTCAAAGGTAGAAACTCTTCCACCATGGGGTAATGCTGTCGCAGGCGCCGCTGGTGCCGTCATCGCAAACACCCTTGTCTACCCCCTAGATTTGTACGTCGCAAATTCCCCGAGCCTTTCTGGGCAGAACGCAAAGATACTAACACAACCTCAGGATCAAGACGCGACTACAGGTCCAGGTTAAGCGCTCGCCTACGTCCAACGACCCCAATCCCGCCGACCACGAACACTACGATGGCGCCATCGACGCGTTGCAGAAGGTCTTTGCGCAGGAGGGTCTTTCTGGACTATACGCCGGCATAGGAGGCTCTCTGCTCGGCGTAGCATCGACCAACTTCGCTTATTTCTACTGGTATACCGTTGTACGCAGCCTCTACATGGCGAACCGCACGCTTCAAACGTCACCGAGCACGCCGGTCGAACTCTCCCTTGGAGCGCTCGCGGGAGCGCTCGCCCAGCTTTTCACAATCCCGGTCGCAGTCGTAACGACGAGGCAACAGACCATGAGCAAGGCGGAGCGCAAGGGCATGATCGCTACGGCTATGGACGTGGTCAACGGTGATGACGGCTGGACAGGGCTTTGGCGAGGACTCAGGGCGAGTCTGGTGCTCGTCATCAACCCATCAATCACATACGGAGCGTACCAGCGATTACGGGAAGTCATGTACCCAGGAAAGAAGACGCTGAAGCCCCTCGAGGCGTTCCGTAAGCCATGGCCATTACCATAACTCAAGGAAAGCTACTAACATCTGTCAGTCATCGGAGCCATGTCCAAGACGCTTGCCACAATCGCAACCCAGCCGCTCATCGTCGCGAAAGTCGGTCTTCAATCGAAACCTCCACCAGCCAGGAACGGAAAGCCTTTCAAGTCCTTCACCGAAGTCATGCAATACATCATACAACACGAAGGCCCGGCGGCGCTATTTAAGGGCATCGGGCCCCAGATCCTCAAGGGCCTGCTCGTCCAGGGTTTCCTCATGATGACCAAGGAGCGCATCGAGCTTTCCTTCATCTTGCTATTCCGATACTTCCGCCAAGTACGCGCCGAGAAGCTCCAGAAGCTGGCGAATATTGCGGCAGAAAAGGCCGGTAAGGCAGCACCGATACTGGCCAAGTAGGCCTTGGCTTGCTGGCATATCCTTACCTTCATCTCAAGTGTATATATTCGACTTTATACTTGGTTACGGAGGCGGATTGGCCGAGCGTTGTGTTGATTTCAATATGGCGTTTGGCATTGATTGTTACCGCGGTTATACACATAGTCTGTCTTGTAAGCATTCTTGAATTTCTACCATTGTGTACACTGTGCTGGTGATGTGTCATGACCATCGTTGCGGCCACGCTAGCGGAGGCGCCGTGCGGAGGCTGTGAAGAGATCCGAGCAACAATGTCCATTCACGCAAAGAAAACCTTAACTAGAACGCCACGCTAATTCTCCGCTACTGTGCCACTATATCACACCGGTCTTCGTTTTAGCGCTTCTTACTTCTCAGGTCCATCAACAATTAGGAACACTGCCCAGGTGATCACGCACATTTGACTCACAACTCATTGATATCGCTGTAGCTCCAATACTTTACTCCTACCACCTCTTGCAAATCCACAGCATCCGTGAATACAGATGTGCTATCTCCGACCTACAAAGTACGCATGCGGCCATATTTCTCCTATCCACAAACCAGGCCGCCAACGCCCAACTGCCAAAGAGGATGCTAATCAATCAGACCCATACGCTGAGGTAAGATCTGAGGTATACGAAATGCATACAAGACATACACTGACTTCGAAATAGTGGCCAACACATGAGGACACTACGTTGAATGGGTGCCAGGATTCTAATCGTAGAGGTGCGCGATGCCCGGACCTTTTAGAGAACCTGGAGGTGGTATATCAAGACGAAGAGGGCGGCGAGTGTGATGAGTGTAAGGCGAAGAAAAAGTGCACAGTATTGTAGGGGGAGATGGAGTGAGACGACTGTGGGTACGCAAAAAAGCTAACAATCACCTTGATAGGAGAGTAGGGTAGCCACGAGCATTGCAGTGTCATATAATCTATAAATATCCTTGTGCGAGTTGACAAGTATCTTCCGATCGACTACTAAGTAATGAAAAATGCACGTACAGTATGCCGATGAAAGCGATGGTACGTGAGCTAGTATAAATCATACATCCTAGAGCCTCCTTCCCACAGACCCAGTTGAAGAGCCTCATCCTTGATAGTGTAATACCTATCTCGCTCTTTACGCTAATCTATGTTAGACTTCTTTCGACTGTACAGAAGGACTTCACTCACCCAGTACTCCATGGACTCACTACTCTCGCTCCAATTACTCTGGTGATCCCAGGCTTCGCTGCAAAAGTTGGTTGGTCGAGGAAACTTAAACAGCTTGGGGAACCCTTCTTTATCGTGTTCTCGTATTTCCAGCTCGTCGGATTGATGCCAGGATTTGTAGCCATCCCGTGGAGAGTAGACCGACTCAAGACTTCCTTTGCTTCCACGCGTTGGGTACCATGACCTGACACAGCCAGTGCGTACTAAACACAATGTTTCGAGCACAGGGCAATGTTCGAAGAACTTCATAGCGACGGAGCTTTGATCTTCATCAAGTTCATGTTCCCACATCATTTCCCCATAGATACTACCGTACCCTGACCCGTCATCAGAATATTCGCCCTCGAGATCTTCGTCGGTGACCTCTTGTATGGCAGTAATCGCGATTTTGGTCAGCTCTGGGAACAAGCCAAACACTTCAGCGAAGGTCTGTGTTCGAGTCAATATTGAAAGCGCTCTAAGAGAGACAGCACCTCTCGCGGTCGTACTTACACTCAGTTTTTCCTGGCCAAGAGTGCCTCGCAAGGCTAGACTCTGAATCTCTGGCAAAAACTGCAGCAAGCGTTTTATATCTTTCTTGCGCCACGTGTCGCGGCAGATCTCGAAGTCCGTAAGGTGCTTCAACGCCCCTGCGGCATGCATTATATTATCTTGGTCGAGGTTGTACTCCAGAGCTAGTATTTCGACATTTGGACAAGCCTCCACGAGGAATGACCAACTGCCACGTGACAGTATGCGCAGACGTACAATGCTAGAGAGAGTGATTTGATGGCGTTGGAACGTGGCTCTAAGACCGGATGTGTCGACGTCCTTTCGATGAGTGACAGAGAGCTCAGCGAGGGACTCCATCTTGGGAAGAGTTTTGGCAAGGCGAGTCCTGCAGAATGTCTTGTTGCCTGGCGATGTCGCGACGATGTCACAGGTCCTGTGTGCATGGTATTAGTATACTCACCGGAAGATGAATGATATCCGTAGGACCCCAATGCGCACGTACTTGATGGCCGAGAGAACCACGGGAAGTGATGGAATCAGCGGATTGCCTTCTATATCTCTCAACCGACGATTGAGGTCTCCCATAGAAGAAGCATCGCGGGAAACGTGTGTGAACAGTTTGGGGATCGCGATTGCCCGCATCCTTTTGCTTACGAGTGACAAGCAGAATAGGGAACTCCCTTCCATGCGATAGTCGAATCTCGTCTTTTGCAACCCATATCCTTCACTCCAGTACTTGACATCAGATGTTTGCGACTCCCACATGAAGTCAATGACGATGGCAAGGACATCATTATTTAGACCCTCGAGAGTCAATAGTTGAAATGGAGTTGCCTGAGGATAATGGGTTCCTTGCTCAGGTGCCGCCTTCGATTGCGGTTGAGTTGGCGCGTGAGATGGTATCCATTGTGAGGCCCCCCACTCTGAAAATTGCAGCGCTGGGGTAAGCACAGGTGCCTTTAGAGAACCGTGAGGGTCGAATTTGGCGAGATGTTTCAGCACTCGCTGATACCTTTGCGGATCTGGGTCAGGTAACGTAGATGAGTTAGTCATGATTAGTGTGAGTGATCAAGTTCCACTGAGTGGGTTCGTATGCCTAGAATAACCTCGCATGACCTGCTGCCGTGATCGCTTGCGTTGCGTTGCGAGATGAGGTGAGAGGAAAAGTGCTAAGGGAAGATGAGAAGGAGCTGGTAGACGCGCCTGATTGCTCGCGTCGCTAGCGCGTCATTTTAATCCGCATTCGGCAAGAGGCCCTTCCGCATCCTCCCAAGGTCGCACTTCTGTTACTCTGTGAGGGGAATGCCTAGGTGTAAAAGTTTCGGCATATAAGACGATACAATCTTCCGAAGAGCAAGACAAGTCGGCGCTCACGCGAGTTTGATTCGAACCCCACCACAAGATGGATGTGTGCGCGGGCGCCGACATGATCTCGAGATGCAGCAATCAAGCAGGATACTTTCGCATGTATGCTTACGAGATATAGGTTATAGCTTGCCACTCTCAAGCTTCAGCTGGAATCTGAGCGGGCTTGTACGCAATACACGGTACAATAGTGGAAATGGATTTGATTGACGTCATCGATACAAGGGCATGTCATGCTAAGGTCAGTAACTAAACAGACTCTTTGAACGTACCCATTTCAACAGCACGCTCCCATCCCGATAGCAATCCGTATCTAGCACAATCATGTCCGAGTCATCAAATCAATTACCATGGCATTCCATACCGTCATCCACCGCAACATGCAAAGTTCACCTCATTCAGGCCGGCGGCATCCACATCCCTACAGACATGGTCTTGCTTCCCGGTCCGGACAAGCCGCAAGACCCGAACGACTCTAAAGACGAGAACGGAAAACGCAAGTCGTTCTATGCTCCAGACTACGTGTTCCTCATCGAGCACACAGCCACCGGGAATAAGTACATTTTCGACCTAGGCATGCGAAAAGATCTGGAGAACCTTCCGCCACTTCTCGTCGAAGGCGCTCTACCAAACTTCAAGTGCGAACCGAAGTCTCCCGCAGAGATACTGCAAGAGCACGGATCACCTGATCAACAGCCCGAGAAAGTCAAGGCCGTTATCTTCTCGCACATGCACTTTGATCATGTTGGCGATGGAGCCAAAGCTGGATTTGAAGAGGCGGAGTTGTGGGTTGGGCCGACCTGCTGTACCTACGCGAGACCGGGTTATCCGGTTGATGAGAAGGCTCCTACGCTTAGCGAGACTTTGCCGGTTGATGGTAGCAGAAAGATTGTAGAGAGCTATGTGCCAGATGATATCTTGAGAGAAGCAGGAGATAAGAGGGCAGGTCAGGTCATGGAAGGCATGGTCAAGGGAAAGTATGCCGCTGTTGATCTAAAGAAGCCCGAATGGATGGGTCTCGGTGCATTTGATCGCGCCTACGACGTCTTCGGTGACGGCTCAGCATACATCGTGGATGCGCCAGGACACTCTCCGGGCCATCAAATGATGCTAGTGCGAACGACATCGGGCTCGACCGAGAACGAGAACACGTTTGTACTGCTGGCTGGTGACTGCTACCACCATCTCGACGTTCTCAAAGAGCCCAAACGCACTGCGAGACCACCATATGCGAAGTCAGGCATGCACGCCGACCCAGAACAGGCAGTGAATACAATGCTGCGCACAAGAAGTTTCGCGCGAAAAGACAACGTGTGGGTCATTGGAGCCCATGACACCAGTGTTGGCGAGGGTATCAAGCCCGGAGTGAGGGAGATAGAAGGGTTGGTAGAGATCAACGATTGGTCAGCGAAGGGATGGAAAAAAGGAATGTAGAACACACCGAAGTATCACGATGACCAATTCATCGTAAGCAAACTATAGGGTTCACCCTCCATCGATCGTCGTATTTGCAATCATTCACATGCTCCGACACCAAGCTCTTGGCTCCCGAGACACCAAAAGCTTGACCACCGTCTCCTCTCCCGAATTTGCGTCACACTGTCCGCGGCCCACCCATGGCCACCGCGTCCTGACAAGGACCACCCAACCCCATCGCTCGGTAACAAGCGTAGATCCCGCGGAGTCCGAGCATTGCCGTTACCCGTGGCGAGGAGCGGTTCATCTTGCGATGCGGCACGCAGGGTTTCGGAGTGTTTGAGTGGCTTGGATGCATGAACGACAGTGGCGTGATACTGGTACTTGGGATCAACGGCTGCCTGAAATCTGAGGGAACCAGGCTAATTAGGCTGATCTTGGAATTGGCAAGTCTGGACAGGTAGATCGACATGGGATGTTGCGGATGCTGACATTTGGTATTCGAATTGCATCATTAAGAATTCTATGGGATATCGTAGACGTTGAACATGTGTCTTTAGCCGCTTGCAGCTTTCAAGATTAACCAACAACAACAACCAAAAAGAGGAGCGAATTATATACAACCATGTAATAAGTGACAATTCGCTCAATATAGCAAATGGTATACTTCTCATCTTTTTCTCCGCGTTCCTTATCATAACTCCACGACTGCGTCTAGAAGTTCTCTTTGCCCCACACATAACTGAAGCCGGGCTCAGAATACATGTTGCACTTGACGTGGAGCGTTGAACCAAGACCCTTGGGTCCACAGAAGAAGACACCGGCTTCGGCGGGTGAGTGAATCTTGCGGATGGACTTGAAGATCATGTCCCAGTTAGGGCGACCGAAGTTTGTGGGCGCGCGGAGACCGGTGATGGCGTCTTGCTCTGCATTTGCGTCGTTGATCATGATGTTTGTCGCGTCGTCTGCCTTGATCTTTGCTGTGAGGTACTGTGAAGAAGGTTAGTAGATCGTCAAGAGCCAGTTATAGACATAAAACTTACGGTGTGGATCTCGATGTGATCATCGATATCTTGCGCCTCGATAGCCAGCAGCAACGATCTGAACCATTCGAAAGATCCGAAGTCTCTGCAGATCCAGAAGAAGTAGACCTTCCTCAGTCTCGTACGGGATCCTTGAGGGTAGTTCATGCGGTACCAGATACTCTTAAGAATGGACGCGAAAGGTGTGACACCGATACCGGCACCACAGAGAACGGCGACTTCGAACTTGAATACATCCTCAGAGGCCGAACCGAAAGGACCATCAATGTAGACTCGGGGAAGAATTTGACGCAAGGCGATCTCTTCGCTGGACCCACCCTTCTCACCCTTCTCGCCGGCTGGCTTCTTGTCTGTGTTGCAGCCAAGCGCCTGTCCGAAAGCCTTGGTGAAGTTACCGACCATACGAATGTGCACCGAGATGTAGTCTTCCTCGGGTGCGCTGGTAAGCGTGAAGGGATGGTATTGCCAGATGGAGATCTCAGGGCAGCACAAGAAGATGTACTGTCCAGCACGGGTCTTGGTGTGCTCCTTCTTGATCTGAACTTCGCAAACGTTGCTGGGGTGCTGGATGACCTTGGAGATATACGTCTTGTGTCGTCCTCGTACTTCACGGGCGATTCGCTCGGCCAGGTACGCAAATCCACCATACATCCAGTACTCCCAGAAGACACCGATACCGTCGCAGAAGGGCGCAAAGTCGGGCTGAATCATGCAGAAGGCTCCGTGAATGGACCAGAAGATGAAGAAGACGATGAACAGATGGTGCATGTACCAGAAACGTTCGAAGTTGGCGCGACGAGCCTTCTCCGCAGCCGTGACAGCGATCGCCATGAGCGCAGTCAGCATAACGTAACCACTCCATCCAGGTCCAGTTGCAAGGTTGGCAAGGATAAAGCCCATGAATCCCAGGTTATTGGAAGCCGAAAACTTGGCAAGGTTGTTCCAATGGGCGATAGTGTGGACCCACGAGAAGAAGACGATAGACCAGGCGACCAGCTTGTGGAAGGTGATGTTCTTGTCGAAAGGAATAACGTCGTTCAACGGCGTACGACGAGCCATGGAGATTAAGTTCCTGCATACCGGGAAAAGGATGAAGGCAACGTCGACGTGCAATACGAGAGCGGCTGAACGAGCAATGGGGAAGGTCAGACCAAAGGTTTGTCTTGAACCAATGGAGTTGTCCTAGGACGTGTGAGCGGTATTCGTCGTGATCTGAGCTATCCAATCATACCTTTAGCCCGTAGTTCATCATACCAAAGACGAAGACCATGACGTGCAATATTGCAAATGTAAAAACAAAACTATATACGTTAGTTGAGGCTCTTCACATGCGGTGTAGTGTAACGTACAATCTTCGGTAACCCTCATTGACCATCCACACATCGAATTTCTCTTTCCGGGTCAACTCTCGCGCCTTTTGGTCCGACATCTCTCCGGACATGAGCATGCGCGTCAGCGGCGGCCATCGTGACCGCTCACGACCTGTGAGACTGGTGGTGTACGACATAGTTGACAGAAGAAGCGAACGTAGCA